TCTCTTCTTGCTGCAGACAGAGGAAGGTAAAAAAGATAAATCCTCAAGGTTGTTTCACTCAGTTGCTGCATTTTAGATAGCAAGTCTTACTGTCTCAGCATATTATTCCATAACAGAGCTCACTCACCTTGAGAAGTTATGCTCACCAACATCCCTGAGTTTTCCTCAGGTGCTAACCTTGAGTAACAGTGAAAGTGGCCTTGTTACTTCCAGAGATGCTTGATGGTGATGACCCTGTAGAAAGACAGCAAGTCCCAGAGATAATCTGGGCAATGCATCTTTCCAATGTATCCTCACTTAGAAAATGCACACTCACAGAGGAGAGTCTGGGGGGTAGGGATGGTGGAGTGTTGTCTTTGCTCTGAATTTGGTCTGGGGCATAACTTGATTCTGCTTTTCAGTTTTTTTTTTCAATATATGCCATACATATATTTTAGGGGGCTTTCACAATTATGTTATTCAAATAATTCATTAAGACTGTGACCCCTTAAAGAAACATAGTCAGGCAACATTTTTCTGGAGTTTCTGGAGTGCCCTTGCACACCATTAAATTTTGTTACTGTGCAAAGATGCATGTTTGAAATTTCCACATACATTTTTCAGGATTAAGTCACTGGAGGCTGTAAGGAGATTCAGAGAAGCAAAGGACCTCCCAGTTCTTGCATGTAAAATACAATCCTGCTGCAACAATCCTTTACACACTTATGCAGGTTAAATGATGTACAAACAGGTGACATACTTATTAGCTACCACTTTTCAGCAAGTGCTCCATCTCCTCTGCAGAGAAGAGTGAGCCTGTTTCTGAAGCACATGAAATGTTGTACTGAAAGCATTTTATCCTAGATGTCTTAGTGAATTATTAACATGCCATCATGTCAGGTGCTCTTTGTCCCATTTTTCTCTCACTCACTTCTGATAATTAGTTTAAATTCAACATTCAAGAATACTGCCTTTGTTAAATGCCTGTGGGATGAGGTAAAGCTACAGGATTAGTTCCAACATTTTAAAGACCTACATAGTTAGCAAGTAGCAGCTTTGAGAGGCTAAAGAAGTAGATTGCTCACTTTTTCTCTCCTCTCCACCAAACCCCAAGTATATGAAATTTAGATGAGCTTTTAGTGTGGCACTTGGTAGGCTTGATTTGGTATTCATGTTCATTACAGGCTTTCGCAGTATAGACTGTAGGAGAATCACTCCTTGTTCAGTTCAGATAGAGCCTGGATTAAAGTTAACATTTCTATGTCACTCTTTCATAGACTTTTCTATTATCCCCCTTCAACAAAAAACTGGATGAGAAGATCACAGAGGTTCTTCCTGACTTTGGGGTGAGATTTTCTGTGCTTCCCACATAGGCACACTTCTCTTACAAATTAATATCAGTATATTCAGTAAGTGCCACAGAAATACCAAGGAAGACTGCATAGCTGGTATTCTCAAAAAATGTGAGACAAAAGAATAGAGGAATAAAAGAACAGGAATCTGTGAATGCAAAATTCTCCTCTTTGGTATAGTTTATGCAGTTGGTTGTGTCAGGGCAGAGTGGATGAACAACTCTGCCATGCCAAAATGATAGTATTTGTGAATATTGCAACTTGTTACTAACTGGTACATATAGTAAAGTGCCACTGAGAATCTGCTCAAGGGTTTACATGGAATTTAAATAGGACTCTCAAGTGCAGTGGGCACAAAATCAAAGTAAGGCAAAATTAGAAGGCAAAACCCACCACTGCAAGGTCTTCCAGGTTGTAAGCAACCTATGCCTTCTAGTAAGCAGTGATTTCTGTTTCTGATTATATTGGCAATGGCTTTACCTAGACTGAAAATATGTAATCTATAGTTTTATAAGTGCTACTGGCAACTAAAACCCCCAATTTAGTTTAATGATTCATTCCCCTCTTGGTTTAGGAAAAAGTTTTGAGAGCTTTGAAAGGAAAATGCTTTTATCGATTCTTATATTTCTTTCTCTGTCTCTGTACATATATGGAGATACATCCTACTATGTTGTATTATGAGTGCTTTTATTTTTACCTTCACATATCATATTTCATTCAGTGATGTTTTATAAACTTATCTCTGACTTATTTTTGCTTTTGAATCCAAACTTAAATTCAAATTTAGATTTGTATATGATTCACAAGAAAGTCATACAACACCAGTTTTCCTACTTACCTTTTTCTGCAAAGAGAAAGGGGTAAATTTACTCTCATTCACATTTATGCAGCCCCAGAATGACTTCAATGTTTAGTGTGCCTTCTCAGGAAGACTCAACAAAAGAGAAAGGATATCATAGAAGAGAGAACAACAGAAAAGAGACTTATCCCCTCTCCTTTCTTAGTACGGATTTTAGCATTAAGAAAAGTATGCTAAACCAAATAAGCAGAAAGATTCAGCAGTATTAGGAGGACAGTATAAATGAGGATTAATTTGGTGTTGCGTTTATTGGGAAACCACCCTATACTAAGTTCCTGCTCCAGATTTTCTCTTGGACAGACAGCCAGAATTATATTGAGTGCCTTTTGTGTTGCCCAATAACCATAATCCTTCCCAGTTCAGTGTAGAATGCAGCTGGCTAGCTTTCTGAGGATCCTTCCTGTGGTGGGATTCTCAGGCAGCAAGAGTCATGGAAACCTCTCACCTTTGCAGAAAGTGTATTTGGAAGAGGTGTAGGCTGTGGTCAGCTGAGGGCCACATTGGTCTCCAATTACTTCAATGAACCTTTTGCCATCAAAGTCCTCCAGTTTGCATCACCAGGCCCAGCACTTGTGGTCCCTTGGTCTAAAGGAGCATCAAGGTTCTTTTTAGCTATAATTTCCCTTACGGTTCTTGTTTATCTGCTAAACACCCTTCATTGTGTGTGATGACTTGGGTAAGTTGTGTTACTTTCACAATACTTTCATAAAGTGGAAGTAACAGCTTCATCAGTAAGGCATGAAAAACTGATCAGACAAGTATTCTGTGTTCTGCTTGTTCCTGTATGGTAAATGTCCCGTAGGAGGTCACATAGTGACTTTTACAAAGTGTGAAAGTAAAATGAAGGACAATGGAATTGGCATGATCAATTCTTTTAGTCCTTTGAGCCATAAGTGTAGCCTCCTTGACTGTCATGTTAGAGGTATGGATCAAAGAAGAAAGTTTAAAGTAAATGCAATGAAGCTACTATTACCTGAGTCCCTTTTAGCTAAATGCAAACTTCCCGCTCCTTTATTCAAACTATGTTTGCTCAGCAGTATGTATAGCATGTGATTTCTGTAAAAAGGCCCACCAAAATAAAAAGCCCAGCTACCAGCACAAACTCTGCACCTAACCATCAAATGGGCACTTGAGTACCTGAAACACACAGCTGCAAGTAGGGAAAAAAAAGCAGCATTTTCATCAGCTGGGTAAAATGACCATATTATAAATGTTGGTTCAGCTTTGGTTTGAGTAATTCTGATATTGATTAAATCTGCACAGTTCTGCTTTGTGCAGATCCTATTTTAGAAGTTTTCCTAAAATTAGTTTAATAATTAATACAGTTTCTCTTCTATACATACCTTGGTAACAAAACTGCTACTGTATTCAATGCTTTTGTGGACTGTCTTAACAAAGTCACAAAAGAGAAAATTTACATTGGAACTAGAAAATTTTACCAAGCATTCCTAGGCTTCTACAGAAGGGTTGGAAAAAAATATGTATGATAGGAATGCAGCCTTCAGTGATTTTAAACTTCCAGGATAAAAACTCCAATTTCTTCTAAGAACTGTTTTAGCTCCTTATTGCATAAAGGTTTTGTGCAATAATGGAGCCATGTAACACTATTCCCACTCCTTCAATGGATAAGCCAGCTCAGTATTACTGTTTTAACTTTCTTCTTTAAGAACTTCCCTCATATACGACTAATATAACTTCCATTAAAGTATCCTTCCTCTTCTTCCAGTCGAAGACAACTACAGCTTAATTTCACTGTGTGCTATGCAAGGTGGTGGGTTAACAAGTGAAATCACAATGCTGCCAGGCAAATATGGTAGTCAGAGTTGCAGAAGCTGCTTTGGGTTTTATTTTTCCAACAGGTTTTAGCCAGAATTTTCAGGAACAAAGAAGACCAGCTCAACCTTTCATGAGCTTAATCAATCTCACTCTGTCCATTCCTGGAATAGCTGAAGCTAGATGATCTACATGCAGCCAAGCTTGAAGTTTGCCCACTGATAGATTTTGATCAAAAGGGAAAAAAATATAATATTGAGGAAATGTTTATATTTTGTTCAGTCTGCCTAGATGTATTTGTAAGGCTTTGTCCTGTGTACCTAGCTGCAACCATGCATAAGGTTTGCATTTTTTGGTTATAATAAAGGAATGTTGGAGCGTTTAACTAGACACATAGAAAGGTGTTCTTTGTTACAGTTCACTGAACTAACCCATCTCGTTTGTGAATCATTAATGATACTGACTGCTGTGTAAATTTACTTTGGTTGTAAATCTATAAATGGCATGGGAAGATGTGGTAGAATGATTTTTCATACATAGCTTTTAAATTAGAACATTATCATTTCAAAGAAGGAAAGGGAAAAATATAAATTAACATTTTGGAAGAAGACATAGAAACCTTAAAAGAGCTAACATCTTCCATTCTGTAAAATTAATTTTAACATTCTGTTTCTTGTAGTTCATTGCAGTGGTTGAGTATATGCAGTCATGCACAATTTGTCCACTTTAAGACTATCCATTATGGGAGAAAAATTTTAAAACTGCCGTTCAAGGAGTCTTATTTACAGTGGGTAACAGACACAGTGTAAAAATCCCAGAATTCAAAACATATATGATGCTTGGAGTTACAAAGTGATCTGAGATAGGAAACAGCAAGTTTGAAAGAGAAGCATTTTCTTGAGGATCATGGCAAGCATTTTCCTGGGGAACATGGTCTAGGGAATTGGTCAGTTTTGTTTTCATATAGACATCCTCACTCTCATCTGCAAATATAAGGTATTATGTAATTAGGTGCAGTAAATACGAGTGGATACATATTCAGAATGGAAGAATTATGTTTATTTTTTCCCCTCTTTTTGAAGGAAATTGCAGTACATAAAGCTTTATTGACGTATTTTCCATTAGGGCAGAGATTATACAAATTCACAAATACAGTGGGCTTTGGCACAGTTGCATGGGAGAACTCACAGCTGTAATTTCAAAGGCAATTAGCATAATCTCTCCCACCCCCCAAATTTTTATCTTGTAAGAATTTCTGATGTTTCAAAAAATGATTCTGTTCTGAAACAGGAAAACCCCAAACACCAACACTTAATCAAATAAAAAGTTTAGACAATTTTCATTCAGAAACTATTGTCCTTTGGAGGAATATACCTGTCACATAATGACAAAATAATGCCTATTTTTCTATAGGATAGTTTGCAGGACGTCACGAAACACTCATCCAGCTCAAGAACACAGGACAAAGCATGTGGCTTTGAAGTATATTGAGCCACGTTACTTTCCACTGCATGTGGAACTTGTATACTTCTTGTATACTTCTCATTTTAAGAGTTCTGCATTAAAAAAAAAAAAAAGAATTTTGGAGCACTTGAATTCAGTAATTGTCATTTCTTCATGGTAGCTTAGAGAATTCACTAACAACATTTGCTAAACCATGAAGCATATTCCTTACATTAAATTAAGATGCAGGGTAAATAAGATTGCACTGGGCAAAGCTTATTTTTAGCAAAACTCTACAGGATCACATCTGTGTCAGTGAATGTGAGCTTAGTAGTTTTTTATCTGATCAAGGTTGACACAGAGCCAACCATGTCAATAATTTCATAGTAATATCAACTAGGACCATTCTTTTCAAAGGTCGCTTTACAAACTTGTAACAGGATTTTTCTAAACTCAATTATTTTATTTTGTATTTTGTCCTTTGATTTCTAATCCAACATGTGGGTGCAGTATGAGGTAATTTCTTATCTCCTAGAGCATGTTGGGTTTTCAGGATGTATTTTGGGTATAAGCATGCATCAACTTCTGTATCTGACTTTTGTTTTCATTGTGTCTAATGCAATTTTAAAAAATGCTCTTTTCCTTACATTAAGTGCTCTGAAATATTTTAATTGCTTGAGTATGTTAAAAACAATAACCAAAAAAGCAAAATAGCTTGATATGTTGTACTATCAAATCACATGACCAAAGAGACCCATAAAAATTAAAAATTATCATAGCACAAAAATTTAATTAAATTTTCTTCTTTTATTTGTGTCTCCACCCAGGGTGTAAACACACACCCTGGATGGAGACACAAGACATTCATTTATCTCTACAAATCTCTAGCCTCACCAAAACAATAATTAAATCCACACTTAAAACTCTTGAGTCCAGTGGATTTTTTTGAGAAATCTCCAAGAATTTGTTTCCTATTTTGGTTTCTAATTCTGTGAATCCATACAAATACTAGTAGTCTTATGGTGAAGGACGGTGCCTGGAGCAGTTTTATTTAAAGGCATCTCACAATATGTTCTACAGGTAATGTAATGGAGTTACAATTTTCCAGTTTTATTTTGTACCATGCACATACACCTTTCACTTTTACCTTTTACATAAAACAGAATGTTATGAAACAGGACAAAAATAAATTATGATTGTATGAAAAATAGCTGTAAAAAAAACCCCACAAAACTACACATACTAGTAGAGCAAAATAACTTTTGAATTTTTTTTTCATGACATGCAACAGACATTTCTTTAAAGATATATCAGCCAGACATACAGTATGGCAAATTAAGATCATATGTATATATGTATGCATTATAAATATGTAGATTACTCTGTAACCTTTAGGAAAAACATAATCCCACTTTCTCTCCTCACCAAAGTGCTTTGTGTAAAAAATATTACACAAGAAGCTGTTTTCTGTACAGACACTGCTTTCTGTACAGAACAAAAGGATTTCTTTTTCTTAAATAGAAACTCAGCTAATTTTCATTTGTGGTCATTTTGTTTTGCTTTAACAGCTTCAGTGAAATATATATATATATATATATAGATGTATATATATATGTATACATATATATACATCATATATACATATATATATATACACACAAAAAGCCCCAGACCAAAAACAAATTTTCATTCCAACGAGAAAAAAAGTGCCGTTTAAAAATTCTGCTATAAAATTACACAGGGAAAACAAGGAATAAACAGTTAAAACTCATTCACACCTTTTCAAGAAAAGCTGAAAACAATATACAGTGTGACAGATGACCTTAGCACTGCCATTCTTCAGCATCTGGTATTAGTAAACCACAATGCCTATATGTTTGTGTGTACACACACATAGAAAGGGAACCCCAAATCCACATGTGCACTCTCATACACTTCCACTTGTACACATGCACTTTGCAATTCGATTTTATACTCCAGTGTAGAACCATTTCTAATGCAGATATAAATAGACACTGAGCCAGGAAAGAGGTAAATTGTATAAAAGAATAATTGTAAATAATTTATTTTGAATATTGTTTAATGTCCGTATTCTAAAATAACTTCATCTCTTAGATATGAATCCCTTTAGAACATTAACAATACAGCATTGAGAATAACAACACAAAACTCACTGAGGCACAAGTATTTGCAAGTAACTCAGTTATGCAGATAACCCACAAAATTGTATTTTCTCAAGCACCATTGTGACAAACAGGATTCCCTATTTAAATATCCAATATACATGAAATACAATGGGGCTTTTAATGCAATTGCCCTCAGTGATTAAATTGATGCCTTGAAGTCAGTCCAACTCCAAAGAGAATAATGAAATAATAGTGAAAATCCTCTTTGCCTCTGAATGAGAAGTAAACAAAGGCATACCTTTTTACAGACTGGTAGCCCATATTCTTGTGCTTGATTTGACTGTTCTCTAGGGCCTTCTTTTTAGGATTAAGGCTCATGGAAAGTTGTAAATATATATATATGTATATGTATGTGAAGAAATGAATTAATGACTTGCAAAAGTTTCCTTTTTAAAATATAACTGATGAACCCCCAAGTTGAAAATACCCTTTTTGAATTCTGTACTCCCACTTTCCCTTTGGTCAGCATGTTTCAAAATGTATAATTCCCCAACTCTACAGAACTTGTACATTCAGATACTCGAAAAAATATTTCAAAAAGTTTAAAAGTCAAGGTGGTAGAGATCTGAAGACAACAACAATATTTCAGTTTTGTAAACAGCAATGGACAAATTCTGGACAATCATGTGGTTAAAAGAATTTTGAAGGATTTATATATAAGAACGTATATAGGTACATGCATATGTCAACACTTAGTCTGATTCTTGCTGACTTTGGTGGAACAAAACACAATTCCACACATTTGAAATTGAAGTGTTCAGTGTGACTAATTATTCCTACTGAACCAAGTTATGCTTGTGCAGTGGTCACAGAATGGGCTTTAAGGTAGTACAAAATTGAAGCTTTATTAAAAAGCAAAACTTGCAGTCAATGCACTTTATGCAAAAGGACTGTCTTTTTGATGGCATGTGTATAGCTGTGAAGAATGCCTGGTGGCATTTAATGCAATGCAAATCACATATGGTAATGTCTAGACCTCTTAGTGCAAGCTGGAGCAGAGGGACACATTCTCTTGTGATGTGAGAAGCAGAATATATGGGGAAGAATTTAGCACAGAATTAGCTGCATTTTAGTAATTTCTAATTGTACTTCATTTATGTGCATGGTTTATATATATAATCTATGTATCAGATGAAAATCTCTCCATTAAATATTTAAGCATATGTCCGCACATAATAATATACTTCATGAATACAAACCTCAAAAGATCACCAGTGTTCACAAATATCTAGACATAAATTTATCTATTCCACAAAATTGCAGATTAAATTATGAATTGGAGCCAAATCAGACTTAACAACTCTCAAAAGTTTGCCAGGAAAAAAAAAAATAAAAGGTTGTATAAACCTTTTTATTTTATCTTTTTAGAAGAGCTATTTCTGAAGCATAGTTATGGTCCAGCTTGCAAGGATGAACTTTTCTGTCCTCACTCTACCAGGTCATGAGAATATTATGATGTATATTACACAGTAAGAAGTCAACAAAATGGATGAACAGGAATTAAAACATAAAACCTCAGTCTTACTAATGTAAGAGCTGTTCTCAAGGCATACAGGATCACAGTGATGACGCGCCCAATGCAAATTATTGATTTTAGCTCATATCCTTGTATGTTTTATGAAGGACAACCTAATTTGCTTGCATCCTGGACTAAATTTGAAGACCTTGAGCCTGACATTGGTCAGAAAAATCAAAACCACCAAACCAGTCCAGTTTTATCTTTCTAGGTAACCAAAGGAAACATAATACAATTAATAGTGTTTCTTCTTTCTGAAAATATGTTACGGAAAAAGATTAGGACAACCAAAATTTAATTGAACCAGAACAGATAGCTTAAAAAAAAAAAAAAAGTGGAATTTAAGGACGAATCTTTCCTGCAAAAGATGCTAAACCTTCCTGCCAAAGACTATAGAACATAATAGCAACAATGCTCTACAATATAATCAAAAAGCAACTGAACGTTAAAATGCATTTATGCTTATCTGGCAGATGTACTAAATTGACACAAAGCCCATGTAACTTCTTGTGTATTTAAACCGTCTTATTCATGCTTACAGGATCAGAATGAATATTGGGAAAACAATATAGCCATATTCTGTGCCTTAAAATAAAGAGGGAATGAATGGACACCTAATCTGAGGCCTGTAAGAAATTGTCTATCAAGAATCGTTGATCCAAAAAGAAGCTACACCAATGCCTCCAATAGTGCCTCCAATATGTAGTGCCTATATATATCTCTAATTTCTCTCCATTTTGGATACTGTTGTGTGTTAAACTTTGGAACTATCACATGCAGACAGGTTGTGCAAAAACTGTATGCCTTTGAAATGTTTGTAGTATGCTCTGGTTTTACTTCTTTTCCTTTTTTGAAAAAGGAATTTTCTAAAGCTGTGTTCGTCTGTAAGTGGACCCATTCAGCTTGAAAGGATTACAGCCAACAACTAGTTTTCTTTTTGGTCTCTGAATTCCCTTTGAGAAATTAAAAGAAGAAATAATTTAAAAAGTATAGTTGCTGTACCACAGATAAGAATAAAAGAAACAATTGGTAAGGTTTTGGCAAAGCTTGCTTTCTCCAAACATTCTCCTTCTCAGTTTGCTGGTTGATTAAATGAAGAATGCTTGGTCATTGCTTTTTTCCTCTCCATTATGTATGTATATGTAGTCATATCCCCATACATACATGGCAGTTTCATGGAGTGAAAAAATTTGTAGGGAAATAACAGAAACGGAAGATGAAACAGAATCAAGTTCTTGTAACTAGATATACATTACTTTAGCCTTCAGTATATACAGAAGAAAGCTGGCTGGAACAATGATCCACTGCATTTACTTGTAGGAAACTGTTGTCCTCTGGCATGCTGCAAGCTGAATCACCAAAGATCCCTACAGACCCTGCTGGAAAATCATACACTGGGAGAAGAAACAAAACAAAAAAGCCCCAGTTAAAAAGCATGATAACTATATAATGAAGTAGGTACTAATACTGATGCATAGAACTGGAAATGGTTTTAAATCAAATACACAAATAAAATAAGCAAGCCATATTTATGAAATTAATGACATAACTTACTGCTTACCAAGGGAGGAATTCAGAATCAAGTCTGAAGTACGGCAGATTTCATTGCAACTAACATCTCCTCATTTAATGGGTGTTAAATTTGTGATCATTTTAAAAATAAACTTCATGATTTTTTAACAAATTTCATCATATTGAACACAGGATAAAAGACAATAAAATATTGTAGAATGCTGTCATAAATTTGACCCTGGCATAGAAATTACTACCTTCTACAAATGGCAATATAAGCCCAAGAACAACTGTTTGCAGACACACTCTCAACTTTTGGATAACATATTTACATACTGTGAGATTCCTCTTTGTAATTACAGGTGCACTGGTTTTGCAATACACTTCTGAAGGACCAAGACATAAGAGGGACTTCAAAGCACAATAAATGTTAAGTGGATTCATCCTGTGTAGAAGGACAGTAAAAGACCTGGGCTTTAGTTGAGCGCCAAGATTAGGCTCACTGTCTTGTACTGATCCTTTGCACAGAGATACTTCAGCCTTCCAGAACAGTATGCAAGCCCCTTAAGTAATTTTCATCTAGGCACAGACTAAGTTGTATGCAAACAGATGAGTGCGCATCCAGGGCAGTTTTTGTCATGAAAATGTGAATAAATGAAATTCAAGACTGATAAAAACCAAACATGCACCAAGCAAAATCACCATGCATGCACCAAAGTAATTTGAATCATCTCAGGCCCCTGCCACTATATGTGCAGTGGAGTGGAGTGGCTGCACAAATATCACAGAAGGCTCAATGGACTGTATTTTAGCTCAAATACACAAGCCAGAGATTGTCTAAGCCTCACAGGCTAGACCCTTGAGAAGCCTTCAACAGTGTTCAGACTGCACACAGGCCAGTTGTTACTGTCACCTGTAGTGACTTCTGGCCTCCCAACACCAACCACTCCATGAAGATCTGAAAACTACCTCCTCTTTGTAAAAAGTCAAACCTGGATGACACTTCCCACCCAAGTACACAGCTCATGCACAGCTGCCGAAGTTCACAAACTCTACACAATCATACACGGAGTGACCAGCTGTTATTTACCTTTGATACCAGAATGATCTGAAAAACTTCCATGGAAAATGCCAAGCCCTCCCTGGCCTGCTGATGTGAGAGCTGAGTGGTCAACAGGAGAAACCGTATTGCAAAAAACACTGTCTTGTATGTTCTTCTGAGTGTCAGCATAATATGGCGGGCAGAAAGTCTGAAGCTGCCCATAAAAACCTAGAATCAGAAGAAGGCCATCAGTAAAAGACATAGACAGAGATAAAAAGGACATTATGTGGAACCATGGCCATGAGAATGATAAAAATCTCAACTGCCCTACCACTAGGTCTTCAATAATTTTAAACAAATAAAGCAGTATTGATATGATGCTCCCTAAAACTTCCTCGGGTTGCTACTAGTTTCAAACACAAACTACTACATGGACATCCTGATTCCACCATGACATTTGAGAGGCATTGACTGGCTAGAAACAGAAATTTTACAGGAAATTTCTGCGCAGTCCTGTGTCTGAACCGGTACTCTCCAGAGTCACTCTATGCATCTGCCTGAAAATCTAAGAAAATGCTAAATTCAAAAGGAAAGAAGATTTCACAAGTAAAATCTGAATAAAATCCAAGGATCTATCATTGATGCCAAGACAGCTGGCTGATAGTAGGGTCATGCATAGAGACTCTGAGGAAAATTTTTTATAATAGGAAGAAAGCACAGAAAAATAGTGTAATTTTCCTAGATACAAGTTCTTTCCACAATTCAGTGTCAATTATTCATCTTTTAAAATAGAGTCATAAACAAGAAATAAGCATATGTAGTTCTCTTCCCCTCAGTTATTTAGCACTATTCTAAATGTCTCTGGAGCATCTGCAGAGCATCAAGCCACAGTGCAGAGGCCTTAGAACTGGAGCCAAACATGACGCAGCAAAATCTCCTAACTTGGTGTCTTTATTCAAACAGCATCATGCTCAGGATAATCTACAATACTGCTGAATGTGGGATAACAAGAAACCATATCCACTTCAGGCAGCAGACCCTGACCATACTTGAGATATCTGTTGGGGAAGTAACAATACCATCAGTTTTCTATGTTTTCATGCAGCAGTAGAAAAACGAAAAAAAACCAAACAGGTTGGCGAATAAATTTCCAGCAATTGAACATTTCAACTGCAACTCTGGATTACAGAATTTTGTCTCTTATTAAACTATTTAAAAAACACACATACACAAGGTTACATCAGCTGTGTTTCTGTGAATGAGTACACTACAAACAAAATTGATGATGTCAAGACAGAGAAAAAACAGCTATTCTTCTGACATGACAGCATAACTTCCCTAGGAAAGTGAAATATTTTTGAATATGATAGAAGTGTAAGCTGTAAGAATTGTTTCTAAAAGCAAGAAGTTCTTGGATTTTATCACATAAAGAGCCTTGTTCTGAAGGCTCATTCTAAAAAGCCTTGGTAGACAGCTCAGCTCAAATTCACTTGTACGGTTGTGGTCCACATACATTTGTAATAGTGTTCTTATCCTATTGAATGGTTGTGGACAAGGATTTTGTTATAGATATGTAATGAATGACTGCCACAATTATAATTTCCATATGGTAGGAAGTTTCTGGTGTCATCTCTCTGCTTGTCACAAGAGAGAATATTTTCTCAAGAAAATTATTATAGTTGCCATTCAAAAATATATGCCATGTGTGAGTAGTCTTTGCTTGTATGGCATGTAAAAATTCCAGCTGGTTTTGGTTTGAAATACCTCAAGACAGTGTTTCTTTGTGGTATATTTCTGCATGTCCATTAGGCAAATTACATAAACACCAAGTAATCATGTGGTACCATTTGGCTGTGAGGACAGAAGGAAGAGTACAAAAGAGATCCAAGTCACATACTGTACTAATAGACAGATTTCCAAATGTGAAAAAATAGAAATGTTTCTGTTTATTAGAATCTTATTATTTTTAATTTAAATATAGCTGTTACTAGTAGATCTGCCTGTATAGAGGCACTAATATAACTAACTTATATAAGCTAACAATTTTTAAAAAGAAATGACAACTTTTTCTTTTCTTTAAAGGAATACTTTGCATTTTTTTTATTTCTTCTGTAACTCAGACAGCTCTGATAATCAGCTTAACTCACAAACACATGTGAGCAGAGTTACAGATACAATTTTAAAGAACAACCAGATTTCTAGTGCAAAAATGTCCACAGTATCAGACACATCCTAAAGCAAGTCAGTTTTGCCCATGCCCAAAGTTTTACCTTACTCTATACTACACAGCACAATAAATTTTCTCACTGTGAAGGGGGAAGTTCTGTTGCTGTTCTTTCCTTTCATACCTAGCACATCTCTTTTGGCTTGTCTCAGAGCAAGCAATATCATATTCTGGCAGCTGCCTGTGTACTCTAGGTGCCTGTGTCTTCAGACACCTCTCCCGAGTGTTTTTTCATGGTTGAAAAGAATCACCAGTACAATACATGTGCTGGGCAAATTGTTGCAGATTTCCAGCACCTGCACTGTCTTCTGTCTACAAACACATATTTCATTGGCACACAACAGCATCTAGCTGGGAAGTTGTCATTCCAGCCCCCAAGTCAGGATAGTTTCAGATTTATGGAATGGTAATACATAAAAGATACTGCAATCTAATGAAAGGAAAAGAAGAGCTTCACTTTTACAGCTCAGTGAGACATCTAAAATCAATTCTGAACATTCTACACAGGAAAGGATATTGTGAATTTCATAAGAGCAAGAAAAGGGAATATTTAGTTAATTATGTAATATTCACTGAGGCAATAGAAAGCCCTCTCTGCCATTACTGTGTATGTTGAAAATCACTCAGAACAAACAATGAAACGTGAACTTTAGACAATGTTCTTTCAAGAAAAAGACATTTCACAATACAAGTAGCTATTAGATACAAGAAGGCTGTCAATCTTGGATGTCATAAATATTTCTCTCTAAACGATAGTACCCTGAGATCACCATGATCTTTTAAGATGTTCAGGCTTTCATAAACTATGTCTGTTTAGAACTTGTTTTCTTCAAAATGCTTTTGGGCAATGAAACTCTTTCTTCCTTGATAAAGCCAATTTATATGGAACTGACAAGTTTAAGACTACACACTGAGGCAGCTTGTCACCATAGTCTACTAGCAGATTGAGCTGAAGTGGCTATAGTTACAGCACTTTAAATCTTGAAAAGGCAGGTTATGAACTGCAGGAGATAGAAATTAACAGAACTTCCCACAGCTACTTGTTGTATACATAATAGTCTGGTGCAGAGATAACTCCATGGTGTTTTTCTGCATTGTAGAAGAGGAAGACAGCAATCTTTGTATTGGTAGTGAGAAAACATAAACTCTTCAAACATCTGCTTTTGAGAGAGAGAGTTTAGGTAAGCCCTTAAGGCACACAGGACAACACTTTCAGTGTAGCATAGAGGATGAGACAGCTGTGCTTAAGCTGGAGGGAGTACATTCTGACAAAATATCTTGTACAGTGATGACAGGTTACTTGATCTTTGAAAAATCATTTAATACCCACATTGTGGGTATTGAATTGCACTGTATTATATCTTTCAATGCTAAAAAAAAGAAAAAAATTCAGACTACATTGTCTTCATATTAGTTTTAAGTTCAAAATTGTTTAGAATTTGAACTTTGAGTTGTTATCTGTGTACAAATAATTCTTGTCAGCAGCATCTATTTTCAACATAAGCTTTCCTAGGAGATGAGGCAGACACAGTAATGCTAACATGGGACTAAGTATGGTATAGGTTTATGGTCCAAGCCCTTGAAAGTCAACCATTTTTTTATCTCAGAAGATAGTATTAAACTGTATCTTAAATTTGGACATGTAATAGGGCTTCAATACAAATGTGACATTCACTCAGATGAGGGTCTCTACTGGGCCTTCTTCTAGTAAAGAATGATGGCCCACAGCTTTTGGCCTTTCAAATCCTCTTTGGACTGCAGAAGAGGGAGATGGGAACACAGTAGCATTTTTTGTCCTGCCCTGAAGAGAAGATGCCCAAGGAGACATGAATGTTGCTGCACAAGCTGGTGCAAGACCTGTGTGGAGTAACAATTAATCCAGGGTTATTTGTGAATCTCTGGAAGACAGGATTCTTTGGAAAGTCTTCTACTTTGGAGCAACTGGTTGTGCTCCCAGCTTCTATGATTCCTAAAACTCCCATGACATGAGAAGAATAAGGTGGTAAATCCATCTGTATCATTTTAAAACTATTTTTGTTCTAGGCAAGAAGACAGACCTTAATGTCTCATTGCCTTTCAAGATGATTTATTGTCAAATGTTCAGCAAAAAAGGGAGTCAAGTAAAATATTTTGTACTGTGGAAATAGAAGGGCTAACCTTCTGATCAGGCTAACCTGATCCCTACAAGCCTTGCACTAGGAATTTAGTGGACCTGTTCTGGCATGTTTTCATGTATGTCAAATTAAGAAATTTCACCCTGTACTCTGTTGGCTATGCATTATTAGTGAAACTTCTGTCGGAGAATATAGAAAGCCAACTATAACTGCTTATGTCCGTTAGTAAATTTCAGTTTCTTCTAGTACTGATCAGTACTGTAAAGAATTACTAGTCTGTGGAGAAAACCACGTGCCTCAGACCCTGCTTCTCTGTGGCCAGTACAATATGAAGAGTGTAAGAGGATTGGCACTTTCCTTTCTCTCCTTCACATTTATGAACTCAGGAAGATGCGTGTTTCCTCTCTTTGCCTAGAGAGACTGCTTACATCAGTGGAAGAAAAAAAAAGATGCTTTGTGTCGTAGTTCGACACTGGCCTAATGCCAGGTACCCACAAGAATCACTCAGTCACCCTTCCCTGCTATAGCTGGGCAGCAAAGGGAACAAAGGAAAAAAATTAACAAAGGGTCCATGAGTGAGATAAGAGTTTAGAGAAAACACTTCAAAGACAAAACAGACTCACCTTAAGGCTGCAAAGTGAAATTTATTATTAACAGAATCAAAGCAGGATGAAGAGAAGTAAAATAAGCCCTTAAAATACCTTTTCCTGCCCAGACCCTCCTTCCTTCCCACCAGCAGCACAGGGAGACAGGGCATGGGGATTTTGGTCAGTTCAACACTAAAATTTTCTCCTGCTGCTCAGGGAGAGGAGTCCTTCCCCTGTGAGACTGTGGGGTCCCTCCCACAGGACACAGTTCTCTGTGAACTTCTCTTCGTGGGTCCACTCTCACAAGCAGCAGTCAAACCACACCTGCTGCAACGTGGGTCCACTCCCACGGGCACACACTCCTCCCAAAACTGCTGCAGCATGGGTCACTCTGCCATGGGGTGCAGTCCTCCAAGGACAGGCTGCTCCAGCCTGGAAGCAGGGCCCCCTCTCTCCACAGTCTCCCACTGGACCACAGCCTCCTCCAGGCATCCACTCGCTCCAGCATGGGCACCTCCCCCATGGACTGTGGGTGGATCTCTGCATCCCCCATGGTCTCACCAGAGGAATCTCAGCTCTGGCACCTGGAGCACTTCTCCCCTCCTTCTGCACTGACCTAGGTGCTGCCATGTTGTTTCCCTCACATGTTCTCACCTCCTCCTCTACTCTGGGTAGGAGTAAAACTGTGCCCACTTTGCTTTGATTTTCTTCTTAAATATGTCATCACAGAGGCATTTCCAACCTCATTCCTTGGCCCAGTTTTGGGCCATCTTCAGAGCTATCAAAGATTGGCTCTGCTGGACATGGTGGAAGCTTCTGGCAGCTTCTCACAGGAGCCACCTTTGTGGCCCCTCTGCTACCAAAAACCAGGCTGTGCAAAACTAATACACCTTGCTCTTGCCAGGATGTTTTCTATGACATCTACAATGATAATTCTCAGGAAGCCTGATCAATAAGCAGAATTCTAAGACCTTGAAAAGTCCAGTCTGCTATGTACCTTGTGTCTATAAGTATGGCAAATCATATATTTAAAGAGTTGAGCGGAAACAACAATATGCTGTCAACACATTCCTGAAATGTTAAGGTAATTAGCATTCAGTCTCCACCAGCTAGGAAAAACAAACAAACAAAACAACCTACAATCTGATGATTTTTTTCTTTGGCTACAGAAGAAATATACAGGATTGAAGAGAGAGAGAGAGGTCTTGTAGCAGTTGATTAAACAGCACAAGTGGGAACACAGCTGCAAGAGTCTTCCATGCTTACACAAGAAGAGTTCTCCATCCCCCCACAAGTGCAAGGGACAAAAATATCCTACCTCTTGAAAAGCAAGTTAATACTTAAGTGCTAAATCAGGCGGGATTAGAAGTGTAGCATTAAAAAATTAAAAGTCATCAGAGAATTTTTTGCCATTCCGTATCAAGAACAGTGCTGAAAATCAATATGAAGAGAAACATGTAACTCCGTACCAGGATGAATAACAACTAGCTAAGGGAAGTATTTTAAGGAAGTCTGAAAGCTGGGCTCTGAAGGCTACCTCCCAGGGTCTTTCAAGGAAAAGTATCTTAACAGTATTGGTGCCCGTCCCTGAAGCGCTTAATTTGAAGATAAGCAACATCAACAAACAACTAACATCATTGATGAAGGTTATTCCTTCTTACCCTGGATGTGAAGGGCATTTGGCTGAAAAGAAGGGCTTTCTGCTGGTTGGTATGTCTTCAGAGGCATCCCTGCAAGGTGTGGAAGCTGAGGAGATTGTGGAGTCTGTCTCTGCATCATGGGATGTTGAATAGACATTCTCTGGGGGCTGATGTGATGAGAAGGAGATGGAGCAACAAGCCTAGAAGTTCAAAATCACAAAACTGTAAGATATCCAAACATTAGAGCTAAAGATTGTTTTTTCTCTATTTAGATCACTTTAATTATTTGAATACATGCAAACTTCCAAAATAACAGTGTGCAACCCAAATAGAGATGTCATATTTTCAAATGGCGAAGTATTATTAGACTTGACATCTGGGAAATTAGCAGCCTGAATTGCCCCTTATTATAGAAAACTACTTTTAACCCACTCCTTCTGTGTGTGTATCTAAGCCATAACTGAAGGAGATGACCCAAGGGAGACCTGATTTTGGAGGCACTGGCAGCTGTTTATTGTAAGCCTTTGTATCAATTTTATTTATCAATAAATAGCTGGTCTTGCTCACTGACAGTGAGATATCAGTTCAGGTCATTGGCCACTGAGGTGTTAGGTATTAGATTCAAGCCCAGGTTTCATGCTCTAGAAATCTTTGTATGTTACATAGGGCTATTTGAAAATAAATGATCTGATGTCAGTATAATGTAGGTAAGGGGCAGTGTTATATTGCTTCCAGAATCTGACCACATCAAAATGTTGATCTGGGCTCAAACTATAAACTTACACGCCTGGCAGAGGAGAGAATGCTTGAGAACAAATCTGGTGATGCAGCTGCCACAGAGGTTCATCACATCAGGGGTATGATTTACACAGCTCTGTCACTACTGGCATTATAAGGATATGTACTTCTGAAGATTTTATACAAGAGTTTTATGGAATTTAACTTTTTACTGTTTTTTTTTCTGCATTTCCTTAAAACTGCATACCTCAAAGTACATAACAGATAGGTCATGCAATCTTTTTTGCAGACAGAAAGCTAGGATTTTAAGAGCTTCTGTTTGTGCCCCAAACCACCCAATAGATTGATAGGATCTGGCTAGTTGAGCTCTGGAATGGCTCTGGGCCACTTTTTCATCAATGAGAGGAGAGCTGGAAACATTCCCAAACACCAAAAATAGAACCATGGTATTTCTTCAAGATGGTGAGTGGAAAGTGACATGTCAAGTCTTGTTGCAGATCAGCCTGTCTCTCCACCACTAAAAATAAGCTGCAAGTCTTCCAAGGAGGAATACCCTTCTCTGTGTAGCGGCTGCTGCTAGGAGGGATCAGTGACTGAAGTTAACACATCTGCTGGTCTTCTAAAATATGGATCTGGTCCCTGTTGTCCTGAGACTGGATCTCAACAAACTAGATGACTTTTTTTTTTTTTTTTTAACCTAGTAAAAAAGCATGTTTTTTCTAAAGCAGTGTTAAGGAAGTTTTTTCACATCCTGAATATAATAGAAGGTGCAACTCCAATAGCAGCTCTACAGAATAACTCGGGGCAGGGTCATCATATAGGTTATAACTGTATTTAAATAAAAGTCACTTGAGATCTTTTATGCTGCTAAGAATCTGTATCTGCTACATGTTATTTCTATGTGATTTTGACTTCATTTGAAAGGTATTTACTAAATTTCTGGTGAATCATAATCTACATTTGGAGTGTAAAAAATATCAAGATGAACTTTGGATGTTGTACTGACTATTAAGTTTTCTGTGAGAAGCACATTTTTAAAGCATATTAGATAGGGTTTGGATGGTCCTGGTGCTGATGTGATATTAACTTGTTATTTGAGAAATACTATATGAATGGAGGAAATAAAGATGTTACTACTGAGCCATTGAGTCTTTAATGTGTCAAATATTTCACTGTTCCAGATAAGAGATGCAGAGTAGACTGAAAGACATACCAGGGAGAAAGAGAACAAAGCATGCACGTATTTCACAATAATACTACTGTACAATTATTTTTTAAGAAAGAGAAATCAGTAGTTATATTGTGATAAAAATATCAGAGGTTTTTAAAAAGTGCTGTAACTAACTGGTTATATGTCTTCTGGGTACTAACTGGAGTTATTTTTTCATATGAGTCCCATAGAAAGACCGTTATCTTTTGCCAAAGATCGAGAGCCAAGCACAGACAGTCTTTAAATACTATAATTATTTAAAAAATAATCGAATCATTTGTGTTTTCAGCATTAATTTGGGAAAATTAATTTCTAAAAAATTATTTTAACAAGTAGACACTAATGGGAAAAATCCTTTACAAAACTCAAAGTGGAAAGCACAGTTTTACAGATTTACCTTTGATTTAACATCCAGAAAACTTCTTCCCAATAATAATACACTATATTTTACAGCTAGACAGGATTCCTTTATAGTAGACATAAGTGGTCTTTATAATTATTTATAAATCAACCTGGGTTACCCACATCAACAAGTATAGTTATCTACTTTTCCTTCCCTTCTGCTTAACAAAAGAAAAACTTGTACTTGTCACAGCCCAGATTTGTCTCTGAACAAATCTCATTATATTCCTGGGAGAACAGCTAATTTAATTTTGCTCCTGAAACACTCAGGATGAGCTTGTAGCCACTTGGAAACTGCAATCAAGAACTACAATCAAGCCCAGGTGTTAATTCAATCAGGAATCGGCCAGATTTGCAGAAATTTGCCCTCTCCTATGCCTGATAGATGTAAAATTCAAACAGAAATGTTTCTGGAGCCATTAGGAAAATTTTTCTTTTCCAGTTTTAGCTGTGAAAAAGTGTCTTGCTGGGGAATAACTAGATTTGGTAGTAAGCAAGATGGATTACTAAATTACCAAAGCTTATCTTTTTTGATGAGATTAGTTAAAATGCCACATACAAAGGGGGTTTGTAAATGACCAGGACTGGTCATGGCCTCATGCAAAAAGAAATTTTACTCTAGCATTTCTTTACTGGAGCTGGCCGAGTCAAGAATCACTACAACTACATGCACAGCCTAAGAAATGTGTGGAAAAGGAAGGGAATAGGAAACCTAAGAGTAATAATATACAATGTAAATTGTGTATTTATATAGTACTTTCATTTTGTTTATTTTATCATGGTTGGCTGCCTACAAATAAACCCTTCGTGCATTGGGGAAACAACCTCTTATGTCTCTGTAGCAAGAACATATTTATATAAGATGTTTCTTCACCTAGAAACCCAAGGGCTTAGCAGCTCCTCAATTTATTTCACTGCAACCAAGTATGTTTTAAAAATGTTTAAAATATTTTTCTTTATATATTGGAAGAAAGGAAACTACACCTGCATATAAAAGGCATAATTTGCCTACAATTAATCCATGCTACATTATGGCACAAATTGCTGCTAACATTAAATATTTGAGACAGGAACTATGTAACTATGCTGGATGAAGTTCAGTCTTCATCTTTTTTTTTTTCTCAATTTTGCAATGTAAATTAAAACATATGTCACTGTTCAGACAAAATTAATTCTTATGATTGTTACAGATATGTTCTGAAGTGGAAGTTGAACATTAAAGCTGAAAACCTTGATTTTTTTTTCTTCAGAAGCCATAGGGGTTTTTTTAACAGCTTGTAAACATAATTTATTGGGTTGCTGCTCTTTTAACTAGCTGAGTCCTTTTTGCTGGGCTTCAGCAGTTTAGGAACATATCCAGATGTCTTGCAGTTCACACAATGAGGGGATCAGGCTTTCATCTTGCTGAGCTGAAGGTTTGGCTGGACAGAGGACTGAACTACAAGCTCCCTGTAAGAAGATGCTGTCTCCAACAGTGTCCTGTAAGTGCTGCACTTTCTGACAATGTTAAATGAAGAAAAATCCGTGACAATTCCTTCCTGAATGCCTTTTTATTTCTAGGAAAATCCAGAAAATCTGGGATGATGCCTCCATTCTCTGCTCTGATATTCCTTCTGTGAACTCACATTCTTTGAACTCACTCCACACTTTATGCTGTGTCTTAGTGTCTTTACAGAGCCTCAGTCTGCTGTCAGTGAAGGAAGCATTCTGTTGTAACACAGCATTGTGAAATCCAGAGTATTCCACTATAAGTTAGTCTGGCTTCCTAACACAGACAATCAAATAAACATGCTTTAAAAACACATTTAAGGAAAGCACACCTTTTGCCAGGAACAAAATTGAAAATATAAGATGTTTTCCCCAAAGTTATGAATATATTCATTTGACCAAAATAACAAAAGCCTAATATTTTACCTACCCATGATGCATGTTTCTCCCCAGTGATTTCTCTGCTACAAATTTTGTGGGTGTTTGGGGTTTTTGTTTGTTTGTTTGTTTGTTAGGGTTCTTATTTGCTTTGTTTAGGGTTTTTTTTTTAGCTGTTGTCATATTTTTTTTAAGGATGCAATCTTCTTACATAACAGAAATATTTTGGGCAAGAAAACCAAAATATTGCTGAAAGCAGGGCTGGCAGGAAGAACAAACAACCCCTCTGATCAATACCTCACCTTCTCTTTGGTGAGAAGATGAAAGGAGAATTTGAGTGGAATTTAAAGTGGAATTTAAGGAAGGGAGCTGTGAGCAGCCACCTCAATATACAGACTTCCTGGAGGGAGACTATGTAACTTTTTATAAAATCTCTCAGTATTTTCTCTGCCTATATTACTAAGTTTCTTGCAAATGTGGCAAAGATGAAAAAAAAATGCCTTTGATTTAAAAAAAAAAAAAAAAGAAAGAAAAAAAAAATAAAAGGAAGGTGTGAGAAAAATTCCAAACTTTGCTAGGTTTGCTTTGAAAAGAGGTTGTAGCCAGGTGGAATTCTGTAACAACAATTCTGTAATAACAAGAAACAAGCAACAGGACAAGAAGGAAACATCCTCAAATTGTGCCAGAGAAGGTTTAGATTGAGTAATAGGAAAAGTTTCTTCACAGAAAGGGTGGGCAGGCATTGGACCAGGCTACCCAGGGAAGTAGTGGAGTCACCATCCCTGAAGGTATTTAAAAGACATGTGGATGTGTGGCACTTGGGTGCATGGTTTTGTGGTGACCTCAGCACTGCTATGTTAACAGTTGGACTTGATGGTCTTAAGGGTCTTTTCCAGCCTAAATTATTCTAAGTTTCTGTGACTCTATGACTCAGGTTCTAGGTTAGCCTTACCAATACCCCCCACTCAAGCATTTGTCTTTTATATATGTTGTTTGTCCACTAAAAAGTAAATGTGATTAACAGGCAATCCTCTGAAGTGTCCCAGCCTGGAAAGAAGTTGGTGTACTTATTTCAAAACCACACTGTTAACTAAAGACCTTCTTCGAGGCAGCCCTTTGTATGCTACATACGAAAGGTTTTGCAACATGTGAAGGTTGGGTGTCTCAGCTTCTTGGGTAGAACTATGCAGAGGCTTTTGCTTCTGTAAGTCTAGCTTGGAGCTACTTGCTATTTTACAGTGAAATCATAAATGGAATATAACCACACACTCAAATGAGCAAAAAGAATGACTGTTGCAGAACTTATTATAAAGTAATTGTACTGCCAAACTAAACACTTTGACCCTAAGTTCTTCTTGTCAGCCTTACAGAGTCTCTAGAAATTCCTGTGAAGCTGGGATGCATCATGCTTTAGGGACATACTGCTAGCTCTGGTTTACAGGTGGATAAAAAATCACCTGGAACATCAAGTAAACATTTAGCACCATCAATTTTTGGGCACGGAACCACATATGTTAACTATGCCATATAAACCCATAGTTTTTGATCTGAGTTTTAATTAGATTGTTCTTTCAGCTTATTTGTATGCTCATGCCTTCTCGTACTACAGTAGTGAGAGAAAAGGTAGTGAAGTACATATTCCCTGTCCCAAATAAGCTTTTAGGTACACATTTGGTACCTTCATTGAATAGCTGCAGTATTTCAAATTAGTGGTGCACTCAAAGTTAGTATCAAAGAGCTGGGACAGACAAAATGTCAATCTGCAATTTTATTACTTGTGCTCTCTCCTTTGATAAATTATGTGATTTGTTAGATTCAAACTCTCTAATTGCCTTGCACTATGTGCTCTCAGAGTTTTGTACACATAATGAATGTAAAGTAAGATGTATTCCATGTTTGGCTCAGTTTCTCACATTAATAAGGCTTAATCAAGTCCACATTTTCCCTCACACCACCTAGAAGAGAAAGACTTAAAAAGAAACCCTTTCATTTTTTCTCTTCCCATGGTATGTGGAAATTTAGAGAAAGTGCTTATTTTCTTCTGCTTCACTCTTTCATAAATCTGAGTCTGCTTCCCAAAAAGTGTCACAGGCTTGTCCCGCAGCATCATCAAACAGCCAGGCCAGTTTGGATCAGCTTCAGTCCAACAAATTCAGCCTTCTGCAGAAGCAAGTGCTGGTCAGCCTGTCCTAGCTCTAAAATGACCCTGGGCATGCACAGTGTGTCAGGAACCACACAGCCCTGAACCACAGAACCATCTGGGTTGGAAGGGGCCTTCAAAGGCCACCTAGTCCAACCCTTACTAGCATGAAGGGCAACAAATGCTCTGCTTGCACCCCTAAATCCTGCAGTCCTTTCAAAATGAGGTTGAAATAAACAGGATGAATCACACCTTTCAAGAACACTATCTCTGCCACTTTCTCTACTGAAGGTTTGTTTACATTTTCACTGTTCCCATCACACCCATGAGGTGAGGTGACAGCCTACTTGCAAGGCCCCTAGGTGAGTGTACTGTGTTAGATTCAATATGTAGATTCTGCCTTAGTTCTTCTTTTAAACATTTCCCTTAACTTCTACCCTATGTATTGTAATCAAACCAACACTGCCATAGTATTTTTTCCTTTTCTGAATTTAGATTGCTATTTGTCACACTACCTAAGTGAAGACACTGAAACTTTTTTTTTACCAAGCAGCTCCACATATGGGAATTAGCACTTAAAGCCTTTTTAGAGAGCTTGTATACACTTAACACATGAAAAAAGAGTATACCATGTTAGCTTTTTATTATTCTGTAGAGTACTGTATTATCTTGATTTACTTTATTATTGTCACCTCATGCTCTGGCAATCACTGGGTATGGATGGACAGGCCATGCATTGAAGAGAAAACTATACTGGAACAGAAGAGCCTGTGTATCAGGCAAGAGAGCATGGACAGTCTCAGAGGTGTGCACAGAGGGCCAGAGCCAGCACAAGGGAAGAAGACCAGGATCATGGGGACAGGAGTGGGGAGGAAGAAATGAACCAAGTAGAGGAGCCCCAATGATCATGAGGCAGTAAGCTCCATCTCAGACTGATGCACAAAAAGCTCAATTCAGCTCCAGAACCGGCTGGATTCACATGTGAAGTCTGAAACAAAAACGTATTTTCACCTGTTGTTAATTTCTTGAGATATTATGTTCTTCTGTCTTCCTGATACAAGGCAGAATGAATATTGCTTTCATCCAAAGAAATTATGCTCATTTACCAGTAATTGAAATCCAGTGAATGTTGTTTTCAGGTTTATAATTGGGGATTTTGTACTCTTCAAATTACTGTCATATCTGTCACTCAAAAAAATTAAATACTTTGAAATGCACTAATGAAATACAGCAATTTATCACTTAGAGCACTGAAAAAAAACTTTTAAAAATAATGTTTAAGTATCCATGAACAGATAGTAAGAGTTTAGTATTTAGTGTGATGATGTTATCTTCCTGACTTTTCCACTAAAAACCATTTACTTAGGATTTTCAGACTTGTGATTTTGGTTCAATGAACTATAGATTTCCACATCTGTAATACCATACACTGTCTAAATCAATGGAAAGAGTGCTGAAAATAATTTAGGGACTGTCTAATGATGAAAATCAAAACACATCCAAGTAATTGATTTTTCTGTCACTGAAATATCTAAAATCATAAAATTTACCATACCTAACCAGCATATAATAAAACATACATAACTGTCATAAAATAAAAACTAGTGAAATAAAACTGTGTTCATTATCTATTGTTGTTCATAAAATGGCAATTAAAAAATAAGGCAAGGTCTTCCTTCAGAAATGCTTGATATTGGGAAAATATTAACAAAATATAACTCTTCTCCCACAAGTAATCAGAAACATGAATCTCAGGGCCCCCATTCTGTAAGGTATGGCTGTGCTCATCTGAAGTTCAGTGTGCCAGCTTAGTACCATTTTCCTTGCTTGGGCCCTTTATTGGGATCAAGAAGGGATTGGAGGAAGTCCCTGAAACGGAGCTGGATGGAAAATCTCCCTTTTAGACTGGAATAACACAGTCCATTTCACCTCTCCTCCTGACAAACCCCTACCCAGAGCAGTTGTTAGGCCAGGGCTGCCACCAGTGCCTTTCTGTGCACCAACAGTTGTATTTCCCCCTATGCTGGCAGCTCTGAGGACAGTCCAGCCTCGGGCTCAAGCTGGGAAGCACAGGCTCTTACCTCTCTGAGTCTGCAGCTGCAAGAAGAGCTATCTGGGGAGGATGCAGAGGACTGCTTTGTATGTTGTGTCCTGGGGAACAGTGGCTGCTGGGGTGGGGCAGGGACACTGCCTCAGCTGCTGTTCCACTTTGATTTATCTGTGTGCTGGGGATCACAGCTGCTGAAAGTAAAAGAGATAAATAATACTCACCAGGCAGGAAATAACACTGATAACTGAGAAAACAAAAACAATATTCATCAATGACCAAACACCAACATGCAACCCCTCCTGTCAAGCTGTAGTGCCAACTCTTAGCAACTAAGAAAAACTAAGGGTTTTCTGATGTGTTGTTTTCCATACATAGGAAAGAAGAAGACCCACGTGAAAGTAAGTAAGTATTCTTTCCTTCTTCCAAATGACATTTCCATAAAATCAGGCATGAATGCTCATTGTCTTGGAATTTTTTGTCTGAATAAGGCTGCAAATCTTCTATACTTTTCTATTGTAGAAGATGTGTCAACATTCCTAAGATCTGTATTTTTAGAACTAGTGAACAGAAAGAACAGTTTCATAAAATGTGAAATGCTTTCTAGATTTCCCTCTCATATAAAAATTACAAATTTCTTGAAGAGCATTATTGCTATCACTGGCCCAGATTCCTCAGTAATTCATACAAAAATTTTAACAGCTGAATAATTTTCTACGCGTTTTCTCTTGTATTTTTTCCAATAGGAAAGTTTCCTGTCTATTTCCTTACTGACTAAACAAAACGCAATACAGGACTTTGTTCAAATGTCGTAATTAGTTGATCCCAAATCCTGTAACCTTATTTTCTGGTAAACCCTTTAAAAAAGTGAAACAAAACAACAGTTTAAATCAGACTAATTTAAATTTTTGTATCTCTGAAAATCCATTTAGCCAGTTATTTCTACTGATATTTGTGTCAGGTATCTTATGTTGATGTTGACTGGCAGACAAATACATGCTCTTAAATATTTTATGAAACCAGAGAATCAATTAGATATTCTGTCTAAGAGATAAAAATTACTTCTTGTGTTTGTCTGTCGTATCTTCCTATCTCTTTAAAAAATAATATATATTGTTCAGACCTAGGTTACAGAGTAAAATTCTACCTATAAAATTTACATTATGCTAATAAATATGTTTGAGCTGATGATTTGAGTTTCTTTATAAAATCCTAGAGTTTAAACCAGTTATCCTGGGGGCACTGTCACCAGTAAAACATCTTTCTAGGCTGAAATATGCCCATGGATGCTGCAATCCTAGCAGAAGAAAGACTGCATTAGAGGTAGCCTCACCATGGATCAGTCTTCAAGAAAATAATTGGACAGGTAATCATTTTATCATTCACAGGTGTGAATTTTGCTACAGAAGATAAAAAAGCTGAAAATTCACCTCGTCTCCCAAGTCCTCAGCCTGTTTTTGGAAAGACTTTATTAGTCCTTACAAGCCCCCCTTTGTGACACATTGGTATTCACCAAGCTAAGACAGAGTTAAGAAAACACTCAGGAGTCTGATTATGCTGAGCCCATTAACAGGCAGTCCTAGACATCTTTCAGCTGGTGGAAATGACCAGATGACGGACAGGAAACCACTTTGTGAATAAAAACATTCAATACAGATGCTGCAGAGACAATGTCAAGATCAGAGGAAGTTGACACTGGTGGTCAAAGCTGGAGGAGTGGAGGCTGGCCTTGGTGCCAGGCTCTGCTCTTTGCTTATTTCTGTGTGGACCAGAACCTCCTAATCACAACCCAAATGACAACAGACATCTGACAGTAGAAGACATCCCAAATCTTAAAGAGGAACCAGGGAGGCAGATCCTGCAAGAAGATGAGATGTCACAGCAGAGAAAACTCACAAAGAAGGAGCTGAGGATATTTTCTTACTAAGACAGGGGAATTTTTTTTTTCTCTTTGCTCATGCACCCCAAAAGTTACTTTTTCTATGTCTGTCTATCAGCATAGCATCAAGCATCAAAAGTTACTTTTTCTATGTCTGTCTGTCAGCATAGCATCAAGACAAGTACAGCGGATAAAAACAAAGCAATGAACTTTTGAAATTCTTATTTTATGTTACATGCAGCACAGAAGAAAATACTGAAAAACAACCAAGCACACATTCTGACAGCAAAAGCAGAGAGAATATTTAATGAATAAGGACACTGCAAAGGAAAGCCCTGATTGTCTAAATAAAAAGAGACTATTTATATTATTCCTTGGCAAAATGGAGTAATTTGCATTTTATCATTATAAAAACTAACAAGAAAAAGAAAGCCAAAAGTAGCCCTTAAAGTGACACAGAGTCTGAGGCCAAAAAATAGTTATTTTCAATGGAGTCAGAAACCTGTAATTGGATGGAACATATTTAAATGCAGAAATTTGCAAATCACCAAAAATTCTCTAATTGACAACAACTGATTAACCATTGCACCGAAGGAAAAATATGAACTATTTTTTGCACTTGGAAGCACCACCTGCATATACTCCCCTCTTTCACTTCCCCTAGGAAGTCCCCAGGATTTTGTAGCCAGGAATATGTAGATATGTGCTGTATTGAATTGTAAGAGCTAAGCCCAACAAATGAAAAACCTATTTTCTGTTTTACCCTTTTCCTCAGCTCATCTGTAAATCTGAAGTCTCCAGAGAACATGAAACTCAAGAAGTCATCATTAAGAAGTACAGTAGAAGTAAAAATTGCATTTTCAAGATAATAAATCTGTCTCCAAAGTTGGTCTGTCACACGGAGCACCTGCACTGTTGGCCTTTCTATGTCTTTTCAGGTATTTTACAGGCAGATCATAGATATTGGAAAACATTTAAGTACTGAAGCAATAAAGCAGGGTCTAGACTAGGATTTTAAGCCATTCCTGAAATGGCATCTCTAGATCACATCCTTGCCTTTCACTTTCTTCTCTTTTAGTGGATTGCAGTTTCTGAAGTTCAGTCTCATCATGATGAATGAAACTATAAAAGTGCAAGTGGACATGTTGCCTACAATGTTTGTAGCAGTTAATTGGTAAATGTTCTTAAAAATGGGAACCCAAACATTACATCAATTTTTGGAGAACCATGAGTTGTCTCAAAATAGAAATCATAAACTCATAAGTAAAACTGGTAAATAAAAGGGCAAGTCTAAGGGGAAGCAAACTATCCTCCTTAAACTAAGATATTAACACTTTTTTGTCCCCTGTAATGTGTGTATGGCCTTACCTATGACTACATCACATTAAGCAGGAGTTCTAGATATGTATGCAATACTTAAGTGCAGCCTAAAAGGTGAAAACAGAGATCCTCTTCATTATTGGTAGTCCTACATTACTGCTCCCTTTGCATCCATTCCCTATGCATCAAATACAATTCTGTTTTTCACAGCAAGAGCCTTTCATATGTCAGTTCTTCCTTCTCATTCTTGTTTTTTTCTTCCAGGAAGGAGACGTAACTACTTTCCAAGGCTGTCACTCTTAAATAACCTATTTTTAAAGAAAAAACCAGACCACTTTTTAAAAAAGAAAACTAAATTGCTTTGTTTTTAGACATCTCTTTGGAACTCACTAGGACAATTTCTTTAATAAAATTTTTTCCTTAATCAATAATTTAATTAATCTATTCCTGTATACATCCTTAACCTGTACCTGCCTGTTGCACCTACCTTCTTTCCTATCATTACCTTAGATACAAATTCCTGGGGGATTGGATTTTTTCTTATTATGTGCACAGAGCACCCAGCTTAGTACAATTTCAGTGGAGGAAAAAACCAAATAAAAGTGTTACTCAAGCAAAGCACAGAAAGTCATATACATAGAAGTAGTTAGGTCAAAGTTTCACGATACAGCGTGAGACATTTAAATAATACCTAAAAATCAAATAAGTTCTGTAACTTTAGTGATACAATTTTTAAATTCCAACTTGCAAAGAAAATTATGCACTTGACAAGCTTTAGAAAGATTCTTTGCTTGCTCTGGAGCAGAACTTAGTGTGATATTCAGTAACTACTTAAAAATGAATTACACATTCTGGTTTATGCTTAAATATTAAATGGTCAAGTTTTATCCAAACGCCACAGTAAAAAGATGGATTTTTTTTTTCTGCTGCATTATTCATGATTCTTTCAGTCTTAGTGATTCCAGATTGCTCTATACAAAGTAAGTTCATACTATGTCACAGCAGGAAAAAACATCATCCCCCTGTGAATCGAGTAAACCAAAATTCCTAGGTATTGTTCAAAATTTAACCCTAGATACTATTAAAATGCTTAGCCCTTAGTCTGTTTACTTTAGACCCATAAATGTAATTTCTCTTAGTAATAAGCAAAGAATCTGTAATGCTACCTCACTGTATTAGTAAGATAATAGTCAGTTTAGATTTCTTCTATGAAGTTATAAAGACTACAGGATAAGAAAAAGATCTTTTGAAGACTTAAATCCAAGTAATAGATCTGTTATCAAAAAAGGTTATTGTTGTATTTCATTTAAATGTGTCTGTGTTTATAGATTATGTATTTTATCAGTGCAGAGAAACATACAGTGGTCACTACAGTTGTTCTACCATGTAAGTGAAAATGGACTTGCATGTAAACATATACTTCTGACATTTCTTACCTTTTACTAACAGTTTGCTTTCAAACATTTATTCTGTAGACTTCTTCTGCAAGAAAAAAATCTACCTTTGTTTTAGATGTGCGTCAATAGTAAGTGAAGTCACCTTCAAGTAAGTAAAGTTTGATTGGATGCCACTGGAAGAATGAAAATCTATTCCTCCTTCTACTTCAAAAGTAGCACAGAGACATTTCAGCTAATGTGCTGTCTAAAACAGCACCCAGTACAAATAATGTATTTAATTTTTCAGAAGTCCCAAAGCTATATAAAAAAAAAAAAAAAAGAAAAAAAAAATTCAGTGAATTTTGAAGGGTAGCTTCTCTGAGGCAAGACACAATGTTTTTTTTGGTATTTTACTTCCCTCTCTATGGGACATAAATAATTTTCTTGTTGCCATTTCAATAAAATAATTCCCTGCCTGTTGGATTTATTTAATTTGTTCACATAGTATATTATCCTGCAGCATCTCTGATGAGTAGTTAATGAAACAATTTATTTCAACTGGATCAAGTAAGTAGTTGTCAAAATGGAGACACGGACTGCTCTATGCCTGATATAGTACCCCCTAACTGATGTGAAACAACACAAGTGAATAGAACTACAAGAACTTTGCCAAGTGATAGATAGCTGGGAAGACATGTAAGAGAAAGCACATTATTACTTACACAGAAATTAATGCTGATAAGAGTATGTTGATTAATTACCATAGAAATTAAATTACCATAAAAATTGCCATATAATAGGGAGCAGTGCCAGGAAAGGAATTACCAAAATACATTAATATATCAAAGAAGGTTCATAGTTAGTAGTGCTGCAAACATCAAGTATGGAAAGACAATGCAGGAATTAGAGAAAGTAATGTCTCAGTCTCAGAAGTTGTCTATGAAACATCATGATGCTAGACAATTGCCAGCTGAGGGCTGGCTGCAGGCAGCAACTTTACCCAGCTTGTCATGCACAGAATTTTGTTCAAGTCACTGTCAGTGTGTGTTTGGACTGAACCAGCAGACAATGCTGGACATTTGAGTGTAGCCTGGAAGCTAGGGAGGAGAGCTCAACAGATTGCTGTGGCCATCTCCTGTGAGAATATCCTCAATTTCTGAAATCTGACACAATCTCTTATCCCAGCTTCCATTCTGTTCAGGAACTTGAAAAGAAAAGGAAAAGCTCAGTCTTTGTTATCTCTCACACTTGGTAAAACCATAAATAATTTTTTCTAAAATCTCAACATTCCTCACTCTCCAGCTCCATCTCAATCTGCAATATAAAATAAACAACTATAAGCAGCTACATGTTCCCAGAGTTTCTCTGGCCAAAATCACATTTTTGAAATCTGAACTTTCCCTTTTCTTTCATATAGTAAATGTCACACTCAGCCTGTACTCAGACTAAGGCACTTAACAGTTAACAGCATACAAGTAATGCCAACTACTTAATAAACTAGAATACAATCAATCACAGCTTTAAATGTCGTGATTTTTGTCATATCAAACTACATCATCCCCAAGTATTGTGTGACTCATAGCAGCCTTGACAAAAACATGAAATAGAATTGCTAGCTTTACCAACCTCTCAGTACAATAAAACCACTTACTGAAGTGGCCACTTCATATAATGTCATTTTTATCACTGCAGAAAACACCACTGAATCAAATTCATTCACTTCCTATGCCTGGCTCTCACTAAAAAGTTGGAATGATAAATATCACAATGCATTTTGCCTGAAAGTTAAAAACAGAAGCCCTCACAGCTACTAAAATATTGCATTAAAAATGTTAACATACTGCCCATTGCACTCTTAAGCTCTAAGGTTTCTTATCACTCATAACTTACTGATAGTTTCAATTTTCTTTTAAATGTTAACAAAAAATTGTACACGTAGGTAGGTATGACAAAGGTATTTCAGTAAGAAAATCTCAGATATTTAAATGAGTCAATGCAATAGGATTATTACATTCATAGTGTAAATGTGTTTCTTGTATATTTATAGTCAAAATATGCGACTTCATAATGCAGCATTTCAGTTCCTTAATGTAGATCAATTGAAAAACTGATATGTGATTGATGAATAAGGCAGAGGAAAAATACTGTGATTTTAAATGAAGTAATGTATTCAAGATGTCTACAAGGAATGGTAGAAGTAAATTGGTAGCAGAATCAACTGCCTATAGAGCAAAAATATCCATCCATGTTGCATTAAGTATTTTCATGGGTATAGTATGACTGTTTCTACTGCTCTCCAAAAAATATATAAAAACTTTTTTTTCCAAATATTTTTTTATATTGCTTTTCATATTCTATCCTTCTTGTGAGATATGGATTTCAGAGTACATTCTACTCTACAAAATGATCCCTAATATTAATAATACATCAGCTTTTTATTTGTCTTATTTTATACCTGGGTAAAGATCACAAGCAGGCACTGGGGAGTGTCCCATGGTATTATCTACAGCATCATGTGGTGACAGAGCTGGCTGGAGGGGCTGGATTGCAGGGCAGTCATTCAGGAGGTCCTGGCCAATCTCTGAGCTTGATCGCAACTAAGAAACAAAAGATAAAAAAGGACAATTATAACAAAAGATGGACATGGAAAAAAGAAAGGAAATAATCACAAAAATCTTTAAGACAGTGAAAAATTACAATGAAGAAATGTTGAGGTTAGAGAAAGAAATGGAGCACAATCAGACACCTTCTCTTCTAAATCATCCTTAATACCTTCCTTTCAATCTAGCAGGCACTTTTTGAATCTGAGGAAGAAAACACTTCCAGATTCTTAACAAGGTTTAGGACAAGCACTACTTGTACAGGTAGGATTTTGGACAGAAGGACTTCAGTGCTCTTTTGTCACATACTGCAAAGGAGACGAGTGGCCTAGTTAACGGGTATTGAACATTTATCAAATGTCTGACATGCTTGTACCAGCACAGGCGTACTATAATGAATACAAATGTTTTCATGCTGGCTTAATACCCTAAACTACCTCACCATAGGACCAGAAGAGCAAAGGTGCTCATAACACTGGAAAAGAGTGATTGGGAACAACCACTTGGGAGAGTTAATATACAGGGAAGTGGAAATAGGGCTACTTATATATGGATTAAGTTGTCTTAAGACACCATCCTTAAACAGACTAGGAGTATATTTGTTTCACATTACTGCAGAACTGAGAGTGCTCTGTCATGGCCAGTAATCCTAGCTGCATGCATGGCCACTTGCCTGGTACCTGATCCCCAAAGAGTAAGATCTGGCTGATCAACAGAAGTTTCACTCTAGAAACAATTAATAAACAAATTCATAACAAGTGTTTTCCTTTTGATGAAACTGGATGAAAAGGCTCCATGTGAGGCTGCAATTAAATGCAGTAAAAAACTACAATTAAAAAAAAAAAAAAAAGTAACAACACCAAAATAAGAAAAATGAATAAAGTCTGATGCAGCACCCTAACAAGGATGGTGTAACTGTAATGCCAAACTGCACCCTGAGGTTTAGGACAGTTTATGGATGCTGCTGCTGGAACTGATGTCTCTCCTGATCTCCTACCTGATGTTAATGTCATATATAACAAAAATTTGCCTGTTCCTTAAAGTTATTTTGGTTGATGTATTCATTTAAAAGCCTGGAAAATGAAGGTCTGTGCTTACACACATGTGAGCCACTGCAGTGGCTGAGATGCTCATAAATATCCTGTCATGTCATCCAGGTTCATGCAGCATGATGGAAAGAACCCTGACCTAGTGCACTTGGATGCCCTGCACTTTCCCAAGAAGCAAATCTCACAGAGGTCACTGAGGCTTCTCCTCTCTTGTTTGGTGCCATGGAGGGTGAGCAGGTAATAGTTAACTAGAAGATAGCCTAGCACCTCTAAGACAAATTTCTGCACATACTATAATCAGAAATTAATCACAGAACAGTTTTAATTTGAAGGAACCAAGTTACAACACCCCTGCCACAGGAAGAGGCACCTTCCACTAGATCAGGCTGTTCAGAGCACCATCCAACCTTGCCTTGAACACCCCAGGGATGGGGTGAATGAAGAAAGAAGAGGAAACGATTCTTAACACATAAAAACATAAAAAGACCCATTGCCATAAGATGACCCTTGTGCCACAAAATGCTGATAAACACTCAAATTACTTTTGATAATATGCACTACTGTATAACCATGGCAACTGAGTGGAGAGTTGGTCTTGCACATCATAAGCACCCGACCCTGTAGCTGGGGATACTACATAGCCTGTGATACATACGCATACACTCTGCCTGCTGGAGATTTCTTCTCTTGAAAACTTAACAAGCCATTATTACCTCTGTGGGGCACACTTGTTATTCTAGAATTGTAGGAAGGGGGAGAACGGATGGAGAAGAGGGAGAAGGGAAGAAATACCCTGACAAATTATTTTGTTATCCATGTTTACAACTGTTGTAAGTAAAAACATTTCTTCCACTTAGGCACATCTCATTGTCTGCTATCATCCAGTAATTGTGCTAGGTTTCCTGCTATCACTAGTAACATGGCTTTTTCATGAAACTCAGTGCTTGTGAAATTAAATGTCAAATATATCCTAATTCAAATCCTTACAGTTACATTATTAATAAACCTTATGTGAATTAAAATTTCTATGGAATCTAAAGTGAATATAATATGAAAAATCTGACTTCTATTAGAGAATCAGGATTCTGTCATACAGAATACAGAATCACAGAAGATGCCTGTGTAAAGTTGTCTGAATTTTTTTTAAGTAACAGATCAATTTTCTATATCAAATAGCACTCATGGATAAAACAGTAAGAAAAACAAGAAGAGGAGAGTTAAGTATTTACACATTAGTTACAAGAATTAAGTAATTCTTGTAAAATAAAATAGGCAAGCACATATTTTACAGATTTTTCTAACTTGCACTGTTCAGGAATCTTGCATTCACATATTCTTTGATATTTAGAACAAATCTATCCTGTCAATCTGTGCTGGCATAAATTTTCTGGACTTTCAGAACTTGTAAAAATGAAGAAAACCTAGGATCATCAATAGAAAACCAAAAATAGAGAAATAAACACTGTGAGACAGCTGTGATCTGATTTCTGTGGATAGTTCTTATTTCATGCACTCACTATTGTTGTTTAGTATTTACAATCACAAGGGATAGAAATACAATCATAAGTCAGAAAAGGGCATAATCTCACACACTCTCAGTCAAATATTTTTACATATTTCACAGAAAACTTAATAATTTCTTAAATTTAATTAAAATTTTAAACTGAAAAGAACATCTTGCATTTTGACAAATGCAGGAAAATCAGGGCTATGATTCTTCTTTAGTATGTCAAAAAACACAGAACAGACAATGAAAAGACAAACTATCTTAAAACCAAGTAATATCCACAAACCATTCACTGCAACTGTAGAATTTTATCTTCAGTTAAAAAAGCTATAAAGGAGAAATAATAATTGACCAGTTATAATTGCTGCCATCCATTTCTTGCTCAGTTCTAACAACACTGCATTTCTTTTCCAGCCTGGACTGTAGATTTACCATCCAAGTGCAAAAAGAAGTTGACAGTCTTTGACTTCTATATGAATTGTATCCCAGCACAGATCTCCCAGCACTGTGGGAAATACGTCACTTCCCCATGATCATCTTGCTTCTTTCATGATCACTCAGCTGAGCACCAGTACAATTGTGCTGGGATTGAAATATTGACAATCTGTTTTTGAGGCCATAAAGTTACCTCACTGAGTGGTGAAACCAATAACTGACAAGTCTGACACAGTGAGCACAACTTTTTTCTGTGCGCTGTAATGTAACTTAAATTTATGGCTGACCAAAGTGCAAGTTAACAATCAATTGCTCTGCTCACTTAAAACTCCCCTGTATTTAATATTTGTTCTAAATAATATTTTTTGAATTTAATAGCTCAATTTTATGGTAAGACTTGTGAAGTTTTGTATTTAGAAACACAGAAGCACTTCCATTATCACAAAGTGGCAGTTTTTTCTAATACACAAAACAAATAATAGTTTAGTCATGGTTTAAATTGTTTTACTTCTGTGAAAATCAGTAATGCTTATTGCCTTTCAGAACAATGGATGGAAAGTCTACTCCTGCACATTTTGCATATGAATAAGTAATTACCCAAATTAAATGAAACAGAAATAATTAGAAGGGTGTAAGATTCCTATTCCCCAATTTTAAATTTCATTATATTTGAGTTCAAAAGCAGAGGAATGCTGTTGATTTGATGCATGACATAATCCCAGAGAAAATGCCTCCTTACAAGAAAAGATAATTTTGAATTTTTTTCTCTCATTAATGTGTGTTTTATCTGAGACCTGCACCTTTATGTGTGACCTGATTAGTTTCTTCTGCATTGCTCCTGTATAAGAGAAATCAGACACCATCAAGGAAAACATATGATAGGTGTGTTTATGAATACACTTCATAAGAAAAGAAGCAGTATAGCTTAAGAAATCCTAAACTACACAAAATAGTTCTGTAACTTCAAAACCTGCCTGTAGGTATTCGGATTAACTTGACTAATTCTTCAGCAAAGTCTAGACACCTTCAGTCATTCAATCATGCCAGTTATCAAATAATAACATTTAAAATCTTGCTTACATAAACATGTGCCAAATATATATGCATGTTTTGCACTGAGTGAAGTATTTACATATGTGAGACATTAGTTATAGTCTATTTATTTTTATGCAGGTTAGATATGTGTCTGCATGTCTAATACCAGCAAAAAAAAAAAACCAAAACAAAAAACCAAAAAAACAAAAAAAAAAAAACCCAAAACCCCCCCCCAAAAAAAAAAACCCACTAAAAACTGGTATGTTTCATTGACCGGATTTTTTTTACACTAACTGTAATAGTTCTACAGATGTGGGGTTTTTTTGTGTATAAAGACAAGAAAGAATTTCTGCTATTCACATAGTCTGTGTATTAGGTTTACTAATGTCAAGTTCAAAGTAGGTAGTTTTTACTCATTTTCATTATCTGTAATTTAAGGTAGCATTGTGAGAGCAAAGCATGACCTGTCTATGTAGAGCCACATTGTACTAGCTTTTTCTGAAGGAGTACGATATATTAAAATATTAAAGTAATTTAATATTTACTTGTATAGTTAGAGTAAAATTATGTCCTGCTAGTAGCATGACATTGAGAATACACAGATGTCACCATTTTATGTTTAAAGTGATGTTTTAAGAAAGAAAAATTTTAAGTTTATGAAGCAATGCTGTAAGACAGTATTTACTCATATTATTGTTTTTCTTGCTGGACACAGATCATCCTTTTACTCACAAAGATCAGCTCCAAGGTCCAGCATTTGCTTGCACAGTACTAAACCTTTCTGACAACAGACAATGACACAGAATCAGTAAAAATTGTCCTAATTCTTGCCTCTGGAGGCTACAGACATCTTGGGGTAATGAAGAATGAAGACAGAAGGGATTTCTCTGTACCCTTTGTTTTCAGTGAGTCATTTTTGCAGGACTTCTAGGGGGAAATGTTCTGCTAATTGTCTACCTCAGCTTTCAGAT